TGGTTAGCCCAGTGATGGGTATTAAGGAGGGCACGTACTGCATGGAGCACTGGGTGTTATACGAAAACAATGGATCGTGGATCACCACATCAAACACCAGTGATGTAGTGTATGGTGACTAACATAACATAATAAAATTAAAAACTACAAAAAATAAAAATAAAAAAAATAAAGAACGAGGGCACATGAAAAAAAAAAAACAGCTATATGCCAGGAAACTTTCATATAAATTACCTCATTTAATCCTCCAATATTTACGTTAAAGCAGGCATCATCACCTTCATTTTATAGACAAGTGAACTGAAGCTCAGAGATGAAGCCACTCACCCAAGGTCACCCAGTCAACAACCATCAGAACTAGAGATGCAACCCAGGACTTTTATGCCAAAGGCTGTTCTTTCTTGCCTCATGTGCTTTCCCACCTCCCAAATAATTTTCCTTCTTCTAGTACTTTTATTCTTCCCAGTTTTATGTTCTTATGGTCATCTTCAACTTTCCAGATTGGTAAGTCCCATCTGGGACCCCTGGTAACATTCCCTCTTTAACATTGACCCTCTAACCAGTCTATAACCTTCTCATTAAAATGTCCCCCAGACTTGTGTCCATTGATCTTTCCTGCACCAATCTTAACCACGATGGTTGCAAAATGATAATTTTTACAACTCTAGTATTGCCATCTTCCAAATCTTGCACACCTGAAATCACAAAGCTTGCCTTTTATCTGCTTTCTGAGCCAGTCAAGCAAACTTATTTCATGACCTCTGTATTGGTTACAGTGCTTTGGGCTGCGACTACAGATATCTCACTAATTGTCACTTAGACAATAAAGAGATTTCATGATCTCACATAACAAGAAGTATGGAAACAAGTCAGTTCCAAAGTTGCTTAATTCAGCAGTTCAATTATGTCATCAAAGACCCAAGCTCTCTCCATCTTTATAGTCTATCATCCTAGGTGTCTAGTAATGTCTCCCTTTTCTTCAAGAGCACATATTCCCTAAAACTGAAATGAAATAGAGAAGATTACCATTGCCCCTGTATAAAAATAATTGAATCATGAAGCATGCCATTTTTTCCTCAAATAACTCTTTTTTAATTGGACTGTCCCTGATGACCCTATTAAAAATTACAAACTCACTTCTGGCATTCCCTCTCTTCTTTCCCTGCTTCATTTGTTCCTTATCACTTGTCACCATTGGGCATACCATATATTTCATTTATTTGTTTCCTCTCTCCCACATTAGAATGTAAATTCCATGAAGGCAGAGACTTTAATCTGTTTTGTTTACTCTTGTATCCCCAATACCTAGAACATTGCCTGGCACATAGAATGCACTCCATAAATATTTATTGAATTAATGAATGGCCACAAGATGACTGCTACCGCACTAAACATCACATTGCCAAACAATGACATTCTAGGCAGCAAAAAAGAGGCATGGGACAAAGAGGCTGTTTTCTTCCAAGGCCTGCAGCTTTTACCAGAAAGTGTGATCTTTTTCAGAAATACCACAACAGATTTTCCCTAAGGTCTCATTAACTAGAACTGGTCACATGCTCACCAATTGGCCTCACTAAGCAAATGGGAATGGGATTGCCATGATTAGCTTAAACTAATAATGATTCATCTCCCAGGGCTGGGCAAAGAACAACTCTGAGTTTTTCTTTAGCATGTGGGGCTGTCATGTGAGCGACCTACAATGTTTGCCGTGGTAGCTGAACATACCCTTGAGAACATTTTCTAACCCCTATTCTCCCCTCTTTACCTCATGGCTAGGACAGCTGTTGTCCATCTGGCCAGGTTCCATAATGCTTTCTGTCATTCAACTCAACCTAGTGACCAGATCTTCATTTCTAATATCATTTCCCACTAAAATAAGTCAGAGCTCTTTGGGGGAAATGGATGATTATACAGTTGGAGCAGTGTAGGTACAAGATGAGCCTGGAACTTCTTATTATTCCAGAAAGTAAGGAAATGCTGAAAAAAAATGATAGAATGTATCACAGGAACACAGGAACCAGATTGAGGGGGTTCCCACTGTCCAAATATAGAACAATTTAAGCATCAATATAATTAAGGGCAGAAATGAATTATAAACCATTGATGAAAAATAGGAATACATGAGGGCTGAGGAGTCCAAGATGGAGGAGTAGGAGAACTTAATTTTATCTGGTCCCAAAAATTCAGCTAGATAGCTATCAAATCATTCTGCACACCTGTGAACTCAACCAGAGATCTAAGAAAAGAATAGCTGCAACTCTACAAATAGAAAAGCAACCACTTTCTGCAAGGTAGGAGGTGCAGAGAAGTGAATCTGAGGCAATATATGGGAAGATAAATCATGGGGAGAGGGAGCCTCCATAAGCCAGCTACTGGCAAGTGATATAGAAATGAAGCACAAAATCAGAACATTTAGAAGTCTGCTCCGGTGAGGAACATTACTCAGGTGGCTAAGTGGGGGTGGAACCCTAGCTGGGACACTGTGGTCTCAGGATCCTTGGGCTCACAGGAAGACCGGGGGTGCCTGAGTGTGACAGAGCTTCCAGACATTGGAGCAGGGAAGCTGGCTGCAAAGAGTGAGCCCAGAAGTGGGCTCTCAGCTCAGGGTTGCCATAAACCAGTCAGGTGACTCCTCTCTTAGCAGGGGCCCAAAAAGAGGCAGAACCATGAGAACCCCCCTTCCTCCCCTGGGAGGAGTAGGGTGGGAGCACACCACAGGAGTCTGCAAGGTTTGGAGACTCGAAACGGGGTCATATGCCTGAGATAGAAATGCTCAGGCATAGGCTGGGTGAGCACGGAGTGTAGTCAGAGACCAGAGAGACAGGAGTGATTGACTGCTTTTCTCTGAGGGATCACTGAAGAGTGGGGCCCTGAGCTTTTGGCTCTGAAGCCAGAGATTGGGAGGCCACTATTTTCATTCTCATCCCCTGAAGCTGCGTGGAAAGCCATCAGGAAACAAAGCCCATATAGAGCAAACTGGACCAGATTACTTAGCCAGGCCCCCTGGCAAGTGCAGGGCAATTCACCTGGGGCAAGTACACTTGAGAATCAACTCAACAGGCCCCTCTCCCAGAATATCAGCAAGAACATCCAGCCAACACCAAGTTTACCGATCAATGAGAACTGCAAAACTCCAGTGCTAGGGGATTACAGCACATAGAATTCATGGCTTTTTCCCCATGATTCTTTAGTCTTTCAACTTTAATTTTTAAAAATTTTTTCTTTCCTTATTCAATCAATTTCTTATTTTATCAACTCTTTTTAAATCCTTTTAAATTTAATTCTTTACAATTACATTCTA